CAAACTTACAAAACCAGCTGGGGTTCAAATAATTTTTTCCCTGACTGTATTAGGAAACACGGCACCAATTTCTTTTGCTACACAAATGACACCCAGCTATATTGATCCATGAAGCCAGATGAAACAAATCAGTTAATTACACTTCAAGCATGTCTTAAAGACATAAGGGCCTGGATGACCTGTAATTTTAATGCCTTTGCACCAGAGGCACTGTTTTCAGATTGTTCATCTGTCCATCCATATGTCCATAGATTTCTGCAGCCCATTCTTCTGAATGTGATTGGGGACAAGTAGCCTATGCAACCTGGCTTGGTAGCAAACAGTGCTATCTAGCTTCTATTTCAAACATGTAGTGTGAAATCTCAAATTTGTAAGTCCTTATTGCAGTCATCTAGTATTAGATGCATTCAATAGCACCATTTACTCTAGGTCACTAGGGTTGGGTATCACGAATCATGGATTTATTAAGAAACATGCATTTCAATTCTGCGTTTTGGTTCCTAACTGTAATATATTTCAATCCAGCTCTAAGTGAACTGCAATAAGTGTTGTACATTCCATAAAACTTTCACTTATCTGCCAAGACATGTAAGTCCACATTATTTGTTATGCACTACATCAGCAAAGCATTTGAAAAGATGCTTGTCCTTACATCCTGGGCCATGGCTGACTGCAGAAAACACAAAGGTTTGGCATGGCTTAACTAAAAAGGCAACACAGCAACACCTGCAGGAAGGAAAGGCGTAAGCATATCTAACATAAGATTATATATGAATTTTTATTGCCAAGAATGTTAAAACATAATTTTACTCCAGTTCAGTGCCTCCATAAGGCAATCAAATAAAATAGAATAAAATAAAATAAAAGTGAAATCAAAGGGATAAAAACAATAATTTGTTGAAAATAAAGTTCACTAGCTCCACGTTGGACACACCAAAGAGCACAATTAGCATGCTGCTGCTTTGCTAATGTCGCCACGTGACCACAATCTCAACAACACCAGCACCATTGGCTCCTACAATACACCATCTTGTCAAGATACTGATAGATGACTTTTTTTAAAGTATTAACACATACAGAATCTGACAAGATTTGGGCATATTTACTTACAAATGTATACATTGGCATCAAAGAAATCATTGAGCTCCACCCTTCTTCAGCTCAGTCCAAAGGTAAAAGAAAGAAAGACCACAATGCACTTGGCAGAGTTTTGGCAGAACATACACATCCTACTCAGCAAGGTTTCTAAGGTGACGTTACACTCCAGCAGCCCAATGTAGGTTACCTCCACATTTCATCAACAAAATTAAACTGTTAACAGGAAAACCATGAACATTGCATGAAAATCTGAACTTTAAGAACATTTAGAAGACCTTTCACCATAAGTGGAAAACTATTCAGTTATTTATTTATTTTTCCTTAGTATACGTTTACCACCTGGCTACATTATTATTAGTGTGCTTGCATGAAATGCATGGACATTATTACTGTTTCCCATACCTATTTTTAGCTTACCTGCATGAAATGTAGGAACACTATTATTGTTTCCCCATTCTACCTCTTCCACCAAAATTTTGTCTTGCTGCTCCTCTCAGTTTGAGGTATGTGGACCAAATTCAAGTATGTCATTGTCTGTCTATTGGGAATAGTGTGCTGACTTTTGGTGAGGATCCAGTCTATGGTTTGTGTATAAATCATGAAAAAAGTGATGAAAATGACTTTTTCCAAGGTTTTTGGAAAATCAAAAAAACTGTTAAAGATAATAGTATGGTACGTCTTCCTTGTGAAAAGACACACTGACTACAAAAACAAGAGCTCTATTTCACTACCTTGTGGCCAGTTCTGTGATCTTTTTACATTTTAGTTAATAATTCATGACCCCTGAGGCCAAAGATTAAAAACTTTTTGTTCCTGGATGCTTCTGAAATATTTTGCCACTGGGAATGCCACTTCCCCTTGCAAGATTTTCTGGCATTTAGAATGCCAGAAATGTAACAATTTTTTTTTCACTGCCTATTCTCCATATTTCATCTAATCACCAAACCTCTAATGATCCCGTATTTGGAGCACCCCGAAAACAATGGTGCCACTCATTCTGCAATATTCTTTTGTATTATTTTTTTATTGAAACAAAGTAACACATTAACAAAACAGGACCGGACATGGAAGATAAGACAACAGATACATGACATTGCAAAAAGAATTTTGCAATATTCTTTAGTGTTTTCCTGCTCTTGGCCACTGAAAATGGGTGGGCGGGGTCAATTGTTTGTAATGATACAACTCTTCAGTACAATGTGCACATGCAAGTAAAATTGGGTCATTAGCGCAAGACCCCACTCAGAGTGGGCTGTTAAAGTTTGGTTTACTTTTGCTACTCAGGGGCACTACAGCTGGCCTTAATGTTTGAAATGCTATAACTACACAAAGAAGCCATAAATCTCATCTGAATTATATGAGCTAAAGTCATATCTCCCTTTGCCCTTACATTTTCTTCCTCTGTTGACACTAGGGGGCGTTACAGTTCACTAGCATGTAAAAATTTTACTTCCTGTTCCTGTTCAGCCAAAAGATTGGATTGAGGAAGCAGCAGGTTTAAATACCTCCCACTAGGCCTGGACTGCACCAAGTGCCCAATACAAGAAAGGGGGGAGTTTGGGAGAAATTTACTGTTTATTTGTTGGTAGTTTATGTTAGAACTTTATTTGAAAAAATTATGTTTACATTTAAAGGAAATATTTAGTTGAGAGCAGACTGTCTGTTTAGGCTTTATTAGTTGATTATTTTGGTAGTGTTTTTAGTTTATCCCTTGTGTGTGTTATTGGTTTGGCCAGCCAGTATACATGTTCCCCTGTGGGTGTCATCTGTGAGGTCAGTTGGTTTTGTTGAGGTATTAGACAGTTCAGTTTGCTGTATTTTGAGTTTCCTTACCTTTTGTTGACCTCTTTTAGGGCCCAATTTATCTGATGTTAATTTTGTATTTTTCTTACTTAATTACTGCTTGGTCCCTGACAGAGCCAAACCTGCTGGGTTTGTCCACCTAAGGGTCCCAAAGGAGTGCACTGAATTTCATGCATCCATGCCAATAGAGGATGCTACACTCAATTTCAATATCTGCATAACTTTAAAGCCAAATATTTTTGCCATTGTTTCATGTAGGAGGGTTGCTCAAAGACACAATGACACTACACACTTTTCATTGCTTTGGTGTAAAGTAAGTTTCTGATTTGATGTATAGCTTTTGAGTGGCATGGTGATGTAGTGAATAGTGCTGTTAGCAAGAAGGTTCTGGGCTAAAGCCCGGTCAACCAAGTGCTCCCTGTGTTCTCCCTCTGCCTGTGTGGGTTCTCTCCGTGGGTATAGCTTTTAGCTACATTTGTTGTGATTTTGACT